AAAGTAAAACGCATAGTTTAAGAAAGATGAAATATTATACGTGTTTTTCTTTTGACAGATAAATTGTTGCTTCGTCTCTCTTAAAGCACCGAACGCAATAATGAATAATATTTGCTTAAAATCCTAATGCTATATTTATATCATGTAAAAAGGAAAAAGTTTCCCGAGACGGTTGACAAATCTCATGAATTTCATTTTTTCTTTGGAAAATTACGTTGCGGCGTTTTTGACATATTTTTTTTTTTTAGTGATGATTTAGTTTCCTTTTTTTGAATGAAATAATACAGAAGAAAAATGTTCGGATATTTCAAAGAAAGCTAAATCAGAAAACACATGGTACTGTTCAAGACCATTTGTAAAAGTAAAAAAACATGTTCGCTATCTTACAGAATTTGTACAAACTACACAGTCTACACAACACTTCCGAGTTCCGACAGTAATAATAATTGTGGTAAGATAAGTAATGATCGTAATCAGCAATTATTTGTTGTTAGAAAAATATTATTTGCAGAACAACTTTTTTGAAAATATGAATATTTATTTACCACAGTAAAATTGTAAGTGTTTACCAAAAAAAAATATTAATTTTTCAACTTGTTAAAAGGTATTAACTGTGGGCGAGTTATCACTAACTTCCTTGAACGTGTAAAGGTCTGTCGCCGAAGTCGTGGTGCACATGTGCCTGATGTAGTCATTCATACGTAAACGGGAGGATATAAGATTGTACATGATGCAAAAAGTTTAAAAAAAAAAAATGTTTTTAATAAAATTTTGTAAACATAAAATTTTTCCATGTTTATGAAACACCCTATACCAATACATATTTGCGTAGAATCAATTTTTATAAATGTAAATAAATAAACAAACAAAATTTCCAATAAATGAACACATTTATATTAGTATTTTTTGGTACAATTTTTCCTTGGATCTTGGAACCTATACAGGTGTAGTCAGAGCAGGGGCTTGACTGCCCTTGATTACTAAGGTTCAAATATTTTTTAAGAGTCTAAAGGAGTTTAAAATCTCCAAACCTCCCATCAACCTATTCCTATGATACACTATTGGCATAATGCTCAAAAGTGCCACTAGAAAAAGTCTAACTATAATTTTTTAAATTGTACAAAGCCACCAAACAATAAAAAGAGCTCACACCTGTGACACATATATTTATAAATACAATTAATTCAATAATTACGGTTATGAGGCGTAAATAAATATTGTAACTAATCTGACACAAAAACTACATTGTAAACACAAGACTAAATGATTTATCAACAGAGCTGTTCCCAGTATAAGCGGCGACTGCGATAATGCGTATATTGCCTATATAAACATGTAATGTTGTATATGTAATGTATGTATATTATACACAAATAAGTAACAACATTATTATCATTAATGGTATTTGCGTACACTGGCAACCTATGTGAGGGAATCCTTGACACATTTCTGACGATCACTACCTACATTTTACGCAAATGTACACAACTACTACATACTAAATAATATAAACATGCATCCTCGTCATGGTTGTACAGTCGTCGGCGCTATACAAATTATCACTGCGCATACACAAGTGACAAGACAATTGCACAAGTGACAAAGATGTACTATTGAGTAGCTACTGTATTTTGTTTAGCGGTGTTAACGTTAAGAGATTTCACATTATGTAGATTTTCCAATGTTACGCACGAATACTGTTAAAACAGGGCGCCGGTGGACGAAAAGAGCATACTTTTAGAGAAGACGCTCATTCGTTATTTTTTTTTGGAACTCTTAGTGTCGTTGAACTTATAAATTGGATTGTGTGGTCGATACTGTATAACGAACGCCACCTACAACGCATATATTTATTATTGACATTTACATATCAGCCCTCATAGGGTTCTTCTAACAGTTACCATCGTAGTGATGTTCTCATTTATTAGCTCCCATCACATATCATCATAAACACTGTTTCTTCGACTTTTGCCGATTGTCGTCCATAAAAAGGATACCCCGATTGACTTAACGATTTTTCGGTTTCCGTCCGCACTCTAATACTGACCAATCTTCTCACACCATGTGACCACATAGGTCCTTCGACTCCGTATACATTCCTACTCTCATCTCCCGCCTTACTTTGTTTAATATTTCTCCATATTTTCTCTTGTCAGTCATTTACCTTTTCTTTCCCATCTGGCCTGAGTCCATTTAATTCAACATTTAAATGACCTTTGTATGTTAGACTCAATATTTCGGCTCTACTCAATGATTTTCCTCTTCTTCGGTGTCGGTATTGCGACTATAGTCCTTAATGCGTTTAATAGTAACTTAGTCGAGGTAATCTCTACTCTCGAATAGTTTTCTTTCCCAACACTGGTGGCTTTTTTATATAATGACATGTATGTGTGTTTACTTATTATTTTTCTAATAATCTTTTTTAAAAAGGATACTTTCATTAATAAAAATATGAACTTGTTCTTTATTTTAAATGAGGTTTAAAATAACTCGACGAAATATATTTAGTAACTAATTACGCCTTAAAAGTTACAACTAAAATTGTGTATGGAAAAAGAAACACATCATTGTAAAATATCTTCTCACCTTCGAATCTAAGCTAAAATACTAAACGTATTATTACCCAACAATTTTCGGTTTATTCTAAAATCTTTAAATATGATAAAACTTTTATATTAAAAATATATTGTTCTACTGAAACGTTTATCACGTTCAGAAGTGAGCATACTTTAAATAATTGATAATTTAACGAATAATAGACACATTTTTTTCGTGAATCACGTTATTTGTAACTCAGAGAATTAAGTGGTTTAAGATAGAAAATGATTTCAGATAATTTCAAATGTATTTTAAATAAAATATGTACTTTTTAAATGTATTATTTAGGCATAAAACAAATAATATTTAAGACAAAAACTATTATTTGTAAAAAACAAATAGCGAATGTAATTAATAATTTTGTCATAAATCGAATATAAAACAACAAAGTAAAATATTTTTGTCTATCACTTCGTATAGATAACATATATAAGAATTATTCGAATAATACCCTACTTCCAAAATATAATGGGAATAGTTTCTAAATTGATCAAGTCAGAAATAAATATATCATTGACGCTTTGGTTTTTCGTTTAACTTTTCATTTGTTATATAGACGATTAACAGCACCAAACGTTTTTTGAGCGGCTGTTATGATTTAGCTATTTCATATTGGCTCTTAACACGTGTTTATTTCTTTTATAACTTGTCCGATTCGGTGTATTAAATTATCGTTTAAAATTCAGGCGCTGACACGGGTAATAAATAAAATAGATTCGATTAAATGACATATTTCGATTATAAACGCCAAGTGCCCAGCCAAATGGGAAGACGGCCAAAACGGCATGGCCGCTCGAATCAGTTTCACGCAGAAAATTTTAAGTTCCAGTTTAGCTTTATGAAAAACGAAAAGCACCCGGTCAACGTTTTGGTTAGGTAAATATTATACATTTGTTTAATTAAGCCATGATAAAAAAAAACCTAAAATGATTAAATCTTAATAATATGTTAGTATAATGAAATATCACTTCTTGTATTTAACGTGTACTATATATTTTTGTAATTATACTGTATTATACATTTCGTTATACAAAAACCAATAAACGATTCATAAAAAAATAATTGTGAAATCAATGAACTTGTTTTTAAATTTATCTATTGTTTAATTGAAACAATAATTTTCATTTTATTATTGGGTTTGGTGTTAGGGTTTTGGCTCAGTGTAAGCTGTAGTGCTGTAGTGCTAAGCACTACATTAGTGTGAACTAATGTAGTATTAATTATTATTTAAATTGTTCAATTTCCACACAAATTATTTTAGAATATCATTAAATGTAAAAAAAATAAATTAAACATAATCGCTGGGTATGTAAACAATAAACTATTATAAACATCAATTAAATTGTAAATAAACAATTCGAACACGCGGTACACGTGTTACAGGCTTCACGATTAAATTTGAATAATAATAACAATTGGATTAATAATAAACATTAAAACGTTAATTATGCGAAATAACGATTCATGTTTAAACTTGTTATTATTCTGTAAAAACCGACCCACAGTGGTCCGAAAGTGAATTCCTGTCTCTCAAAAGTCCTGTTAGTTAATATGCAAAAAATATAAAAACAATTATGAATTAACCATTTTTATATGTTTCTTAGACTTAATATAAAATGTCAAGGCCATATGTGTACCCGGATATTTTTTATTACTATTTAATGTTCAGTTATTGTAGTTATTGTTATTAATACATAGTTATTGTAGTCTGTAGAGCAAGTATTCAGTTTTTCCAAAATATAAAACAATTTTACGTCAGACAAAAATTACTTAGTACATAATGCAAATAAGATAGCATTGGAAATAAATTAAATATTAGTAAATAATCGTACTTTCTTATTTGCATTGTGAACTAAACATTTTTTTAAAATATTAGAGGGTAAAAAGTTGTAAGCGAAATAATATTTTCTAAAATCAAAAAAACCTCCAAACTATAATATCTGAATTTTAAATAGCAATAAAAAACGTCCAAGTACACACATGACCTTAAAACTGTATATTGTGTCTAAGAAATCTATTAAAATTAATAACTCGTAATTGTTTTTATTATTTCGCATATTTAATAATAGGACTAATGATCGACTAGAATTCACTTTCAGACCACTGTGCGGCCGCTGCCACAAAACGAAAAAAAAAGAAGACGTGTAAGTATTAAATCTCGTTTATTAGGTTTTTGTGTTATTAGTATTATTATACTGTACACGTTAGTTGTTTTCATTCGGACATGACCTTCGCAAATAAACTGGTTAACAACAATAACACCAATATCAACATCACTTCAGGTATGATACATAATGTACAGTATACAGTATAAACAACCAAATTGGGCCTAGCGTTTATATATGTAATGGCTTTACTACATTAAACCTTATAAATAAAAATAAAAATAAATGCAATGTTACCTCTAAGCCGAATGTAGATTACATCAGGAGAATGAGGAGACGCGTTGGTCGGGTCCGCGCTCACCTGAGAACAAAAAAAAAACGAATAAATTATATTATTAAATTTAATTTCTTAAGTTTTGTTTAAAATAATCTAATATATATATATGAAAAATGTATTAAAATACATGTTTTTTTCGAGTAAAATTATATCTATTAACTGGGAAAATAACGTAGTTCCTTAAATAACCTATAACTTATTATGTAAAAAATTACATTTTTTTTTATAGAACAAGTAATCTATCATTTTTTTATCAAACTTAATATATTAAACATTACATCTCATGGTTACAATTTTTTTATTACAATATTGAAGTAGTGAGCACCAAATCGGAATGTATTTTCAGTGTGTTCTAATATGGGCGATAATCACTATTTTTTCATTTATTGACAAAATATATTTTATGATAAAAAATATCACTTGCGGTTAGAATCACTAAATTTGAATATTTAGGTTAGCTTTTATGAATTTTCAACAAATAGTTAATTACTCGAATATTTAATAAGACTGGTTAGCAATATAAAACAACGTAACCAGCATAATGGAATTTTTAATTAAATAAATTATGTGCAGTATAAATGGTCGTGCCATCCGCTTCTTTCATCTATTCTATCTAGATCTGCTTTTTTTAAGGGAGGTTATTAAAAAAGTTTCACTTAATCTATACATAAAGTACAAACGAACCGGAAAATGGAGTTACTTTTTATACCGTAAAAAACGACCCTCATTCAAGTTAAGTTGCCCAGAACGACCTGACGACGTCGGCAATGTCTCTGCACGGTTTATGCTTGCGGTCAAGGCACTATGGATCATGTTATGAGGTAGGCATACGGTTATCAAAATATAATGGTAGGGTTGACCACTCTACGCTTATTGTGCATAAATATTACACACACACAGTGACTAGTTTTTTTTTTTTTTAAAGCGACAGTGAAGCGTTACAATATAATTTAGAGTGAATTCAATGCAAAGCGGTTGAACGTTTACTCATAGTTCCTCTGAGAGGCAGTTTAAGAAATTAATATGTTAACAAAAATGTAAATGTACATAACAAGTATTGTCATAACACGATAATCTGTCAGGGCTGCGCATAAATTATGCATGCAAGTCCATCAGATGTAATGTGCCTTGTTATTCATATTATTTTGATTTATTGGTGCAAAATTGGTGTTAATATAATATAAATATTCTGTATTATTACTTATATTAATAGGTGTAACCGCATATATTAAAAAGTTACCTATTTACATACACAAGTTTATTGTCTATACTAAATTCTAGTTTTCGAGGTCTTTAATAGATGTGCCTAAATGGGTAAGAAGTTTTAACACCTAATGAGACACACCACACTTGTCTTATTTCCTAAGATAACAATGGACCGAACACGATAATACCAATATTCGCCAATGGACAGGTTCAGATAAACGCAAATGCAGACGGTGTAGATGTCTATGATTTCTCTCAAGCCCACGCATACAATTGTTATGATAGGTTAGGTGATGTTAAAACGTTTTTATTACAAGCAAAGTTGTTCATGCAAGTAACTTTTTATTTAAATGATTATTTTTATTACGGTAACCTGTTGTAAACGAGCTATAAACGGCCGTAAAGTCGTTTACTTGGCTTAAATTTTTCAATCTGATTTTGATTTTTGTTACTTGAAATAATGCAAAAACGAATTTTTATAAGTGGTGTAAGCTGTCGGACTCGTGGTTTATTATTATTATTAGTAGTTAGTTCACATCTGACATAACATGGTAAGGAAAAAGTAGAGAAAAAAAGTAAACGGTTGGGTTTTCGGTAAGTGTGTTTTACGACCGCATAACGTTCCAGTCGAATTGATTGTACTTTTGGGTTTTTTATTTTTATTATTTTCTACTGGTTTTAGATTTTAATCTATTGCTTCGACCCGCAAAATACGATTGACCGGATGACAATAAGACAGAAGTGCAGTTACGCTGAATAATGTGGCCGGATTCCCAACATACCGACGTCGTCATCCGATTAGGTATTTGACAATATTGCCGACCAATATATCATCGAAATCGGTTACCCAAGTATAATCTTTTTTAATGGCCCAATGAGTAGTAACACTTCGTGATCAGCTCTTCGTAAATGATCACACGTCAAAGACAAACCCATATTGATATGTTGTCTCCAACTACAACAATGGGATTTTTGTACATAGACATAATATGTGCTGTCTTAGCAGATGTACCCATCTAACTACTTCTACATTAATGCAACTGTTTAGTTTTTTTTCCGGAAAAGTGCATCTATCAAGACATGTTTATTATACGCGAAAAAAATGGCGTGGTGCCACGTTTTTAGAACGTACAAGTATTAAAGTTAATCACCATCAAAATAAAAGACAGGTGTAAAAAATTCGCTTGTGTCGATTTTTGCAAGAATTTTTTTTACTACTAGCATTATTTTCTACTAATATTTCTTGGTTGGTTCTGATTTCAATGGAAATTAAACGGCCGTTGTCGGCGAACGAAAATCTGTTTTTATTATGATAATTGTACACCTTAACATATAAAGACTGTGCACGGAACGCGGAAGTCTAGGCGGTAAAATAAAAACAAAATATAAGAGTAGCAAAACGTTTCTATATGAATAAAGTGATATGGTCTGTGCGTTTTTATTTCCAGTTTCTATTATAACTATTATTATAATTGTTATTATGGTTATTACTATCACTATTAGACCTAGGACTGCTTTGGCTTCCTCCCTCCTGTGTCTTAAGGCGGTAATAGCGAAACGTTAATCATCGTGGAATCGCCATATTCCGCCGACACGTAAATATTGTTATTATATCATTATTGTCCAATAAACAGGAACACACGCGGGCAAAATATAAAACACTATAATTAATCTGCAGCTATTTTCAAAATAAACAATAATTATATTGCATGAAATTATTGATTTTTTAGTTTATTCGCTTAAAAAAGTAAATATTACAGTATTAACCGTGTCTTGCTGCCGCTTCCGTTATTTTTTCCCGTCTCATTGAAATTACAATAATATTGTTGTTACATACATAATATACATATTATGACACACATATTATACCGCTTGTTGTATGACTCGTCTGTTGACGAAAAAAAAAATACTTTACATACAAGCTTTGTAAAATAGTATTTATTAGCATATGTTTTATATTTTTATTTTTTTTATAGCGTTGGCGGGTTAAGTTGTTTTTGTGTGACCGCAAGTTTTTAGTCGTCTCAAAAAACGCGTTTCCTCGGTGTATGTGTTAAGGACACGGCTAGAAGTAAGTACACATGGTTATTTATTGCATGTACACGTCCGTATTCTCTAATAATAAAAATATAATATATTCATACAGTCGTTTGGTTCGACTACTAGAGCAGGGACGATACGGTTCGCGTTTAACATTACATCTAAAAAAAAACATTTACAAGTGTTTGGTTGGTAAATAACTAGTAAAAGAAAAATAACAAACTCTCGGCTATTAACATTTACAACATTAGGTACGAGTTTTGTGAAAAATTTCATTACTTGGTATCACAGAAATATGTCTCTAGCGAGCTGCAAACTACCCAACAGAGACGCTATAAATATTTGCATTATTATGTAAAAAAAACTGTGCAACAACGTTCTTCCTCGCCATTTAAAGTCTTAAGATATAATTCTGAAAATCCTATTTGATCGTTTGTAATTAAAAAATAGATACAAGGTATAGGTACAACTGGACGAGCGAATACTATAATGAATATTTAAAATAAATTGAATGGTATGTGCGAAGCATTTGTTCGAAACGCTTTTGAGAATTTCTTCATTAAAACCCGTTACGGTTGCAAGGCGATGGTAGAAAAGTGCACGACCGTGTCACCATAATAAAGTCCTATATAATAATTTATGTGCGCTATGGCACAGGCAGTGGTCGCTGTGGTCCCGCTATAGACTAAAACGGTCAACGGGCATCATTGAAGACGAACCGTCCAAAATTAACTTGTACCACGCTATTTAATATTCCGCGCAGGACCACCAAAGTTTTATTTTTAAATTTTATAAATAAATAAATTAAAACTAAAAAAAAACAACATTTAATGCGATAATAAGCCTGTCCTCTTCCTCTTACTCCTCCTCGTCCTCCTCATCTGGGACCGCTATACACTATAATATATTCCAAAAAGCGTAGATAAAAAAAAATATCGTAACAAATCATCCTTGACAGTTGGCAAATTCTGTAAACATATTTAATCACCCTTTTTTGTTTTTAATTAAGTTAATTTAAAAATAAACGGCTATTATGTTTAATTTTATACCTTGTAACTGATTCGGCGGTGTCGTCTAATCATAACCGTTTTGCTTTTTTATTTTTTTGACAATAATACTAAAATTTTAATTTTAAATATACAAAAATCAACGATTTATGATATTTACATGCTTGTATTGTGCTAGTGTTCGGAAAGTTTTTTTAAACCAAGTTAGAATATTGCTTCTTCTATATAATTCTTCAACTGACAAATAAGATAACGTATACAAATATTTGTACCATATAATAGTATCGTTATTGGTTGAACTTATTATACGATGATTATTATATTTCTTCAAACAAAACAATTTAAATTTATCGCAAGTTTATTTTAAATTTAAAGGAAGCCCGCAGAAGTGCCAAACATATGGTTCATGCGAAATTAACTTGGTCCAGGGATCCAGGTTTGAGCAGCTTTTTAGGGTATTATTAAAATAAAACTCTAAAAAGCTGTCTTAAAAGACGAAGAATGATTTGGGCATTATTGGAATGGGCAAATAGCCCCGTTAAAAGACTGCGGCGGCAAATGCATTATGAATTGATAACAAAATATATATAGAAAAAAAACAACACCAAGCGCCGCTGTTGACATTTCAAATATATTTGGGTCAATTTATAATATAATGTGATAAAATATTTTTCGCGTACAGCCAATCACGATTAATTATCCAGTTTAAACGGTCATTTGTTCATCCGGAATGAGCTAAACTGCAGTCGAATATAAAAAATATATTCTGAG